GACTGACTTCCTGACTATTTGTGATGTCACAAATCCTGCTGGTAGGCCCCGCCCCTTAAAATCAGATGTTCAATGAGCACAGAGAAACTTTCCACTTTCAGCAGATAAATGTGAAAACATCCTTCTAGAGTCAAACTCTGCATCATAACAGCACACTGTAGGAATGAGAATACTTTTGACTGGAGGGGGGCTTTAAAGCCATACTGAGAGATTTGGAGAGCCCATTGTTTGACCTAAATATTAAGTCACGACCAAAACCATTCATGTGGCATTTTGAATGTCATCTTTTTGATATTCCAACTTTCAACTTTACCTGCAAGCGTGGTAAATAATATCACAAGGGTTATATCACAAAGAAACAAAAAAGAGCCAGAAAACCAAGGAAAAGCATCAACACAACACAACATAAATGAATGAGTGGATAAACAAATAAATTCATCTCCAATTTAAAAAGGGCACCATAAAAACAAAGGTACAAATGACCAGTAGGATTAAAACATGCCACTGCACTGGACATTGTGAACTGGTGTCTGCTGGTTTTCCCAGTAGGAAGCTCAATGTCTGTTTCTAGATTCTAGTCCACAACTTAGTCACGTCAGCAAGTGTCTCTGAAGTCGATATGTTAGCCGGTGCAAGCTTACAGTTCATCAGCTCTATTGAAACTGGACATCAGACAGACTACTCCTGTTGCCATTCTCTTTTCAGCCCAAACTAGATAAACAATAAGATCTGGAAAGTCACGATCTTTAAGTGGATTTGAATTTGAATTCAGCTATACTGCTGGAGTTTAGCCATTTTCAGGACACATGGAACACTAGTAAACAAGAGCTCAGCTCTAGGACACCCCACAATCATCATCATACTTATTCACTTTCTTGGTTAGAGCAAGATGAGAAGATCAATACCCCTCTAATCTCTCTTTGGCTGTTACGTATGGAGCTAGAGCCAGGAGCTTAGCTTAAAGTTTAGACTAGAGATAGGGGGAAACAGGGAGAAACAGCAAAGCCTGGCTCTGCCTGAAGGTAAAGAAAATCCACCTACCAGCACCTCTAAAGCCAACGAATGAACACATTAAATCTCATTTAATCTGTACACAAACAGAAATATAAAAACTAAATGTTATGAGTTATGTCCTGTTACTATTTATTGGGTAACAGCAAACAGGCACTTCAGGTTTTTGTGCTTGTTTAAAGTTTGTTTAAAAATATCGAACTATTCCTTTAAAGCATCAGTGTGTACAGTTTTGGTGGCACCTCACGGTGAAATTGCAAACCGCGTAGCCTTTCAAACGTGTAGGAGAAACTACAATAGTCACAAAAATCAGGAAAAATGTGAAACTTCCTGAGACCCACTCCCTCTGTAGATAAAAACAGCTTATTCTAAGGTAACAAAAACACACTAACACTAATGAAAACATACTCATTGATGTTAAATTCCATTTCTGCCAATAGATCCTGCTAAATGTTACACACTGAACCTTTAAAGTCTCTTAAATAGACTAGGAAAAAAAAGCATGCAGCACGGAAACTATTGACCAACCAGGGACATGAGGACGATTTTAGTCTCTGTATTCTCCTCCCCTATATCGGTTATTTGAACTGCTCATTTTCCAAGGGAACTGATGTATTGCTTTAATCAAGCAAGCTCACATTTGTTATGCACTGATCAGTTACCACACACACACACACCACACAACCCACACCACACACACCACACACACCACACCATGTACACTTCTTCCCATCATGTTGCGATATCAGTTTCATTGCCTCTGCGGTTGTAGTGTAAGAAGCCCTGCAGCAGACGCCTTCCTTCATTCTCTGTCTCTGTCTTCGTCTCCTTCTCCAGGATGAAAATGGCATGATGACGCAGGTGGCACCAGCAAAGGATGACTCACTGAGCAGTTAGCACACATACGCTTAACGCTCCAGCACACACACACACACACACACACAATGAGCCTGAGTATAAGTTTTCCTTTCTCTGTTTTCACGTTGTAAACATCCTAATTGATTTCAGAACACCTGTAGTAGCTGCGAGGTTGTGGTTCATGTTTCCTTAATTTCTGTGAGGAATGGTTCTAATACTACCAAGCTAAAGGGACACTGCAGTTTCCAGCCAAAGATTATACACGTTGATTTCACTAGTTAGTTCCTTCTCAGGGTGGCTGTTATGCCTACAGTATGTGCCTCATGCACTCTTCTTCTATCCTGCAGCTGTGAGCGTGCTGTCTGCAACCACTGATGTACATGGTGTAGCACTACTGTACTGGGCACAGTGGCCTAGGCTGCAACTAGCCAACGACTAGTGAACAAAACCAGGAAAAGCTGCTCTTTTGTGGTTTGTGTCAATGATATTTATGTATAATTGGTGTTTTTTTGTGAGTGCATCCAAGTTCTACAAAATGCCAGCTTCCTTTGTCCTTGGCGTGCTTTAGAAGGAGTTGAAAGAAATGGAAGCACAAGCCACACACAGCCAGTGAGACTGCAAACCGATATGTTTCACATTTCAAGATGTATTACACCAGTCACAAATTGATTGTGGGGGTTTGCAGGGATTTGCAGTGGTTTGCACAAGAGCACGTGGACTGGTGCAAAAGGCATGTAGAGGTCATTTGTGTCTTATACAGTGACATCACTGGCAGTAGGATTTAGTTGCACAAAAATCAATGTTCATTTATATTCAAGCCAAGGAGAACTTAGGAACAATGTAACATGTACATGTTGAGGTGTTATGGAAATGAGAAGAAATGATTCCTCTTTCATATCTTTTTTCCCTCGGTGTTTTTTCCGTTTGTCTTATGTTAGGTGACCTAATTGTAGAGGTAGTCACTAGGGCAGCAAAAAAGGACATGATCCCTCACTGGCTTCCCATCTGCAAAAACTGCTTACTGTGTGTGATTGAATGGCTTAGCAAGCTGGAAGTGCTGCTGCTGGGTAAAACTGTTGTGTTGGGTTTTTTTCTCAGGGTCCCACACGAGCAACGCGTCATGACACTGCTGCTTTAAAGCATCTGCTGGGTTGTGTTAATTAAGACTCTGTTAGTACCTTCTTCTGATTTCTTACTTCATTAAATGAGTAAAGGACTGCCACTTTGAATCTTTATTGTCTGCTACTGTAACATGTAACAGATTAACATTAGAATGTTTTTAAATCATGATAGAAACAAAGTAAACACACAGTAGCACACAGTAGAAGACATGTTTGTGTTTTCTTGTATTATAATAAAAAATACAAAGAGTAATAATTCAACTTGTTTACAGTTTGAGGTCCTGTTGACAGTTTTACAGACATCACTTTTATATTGACTGTCTATGGGTAAAATGTTTTGTTTTGCAGTACTGCAGTTGCCTACTAGGGATAACTACCATACGAGCTTAAGTCAGGTTATCTAGAGACTCTTGGGAATCTTGGGAAATGTAGGGGAATTTAACATGCCAGTATCCTGCAATTACTACTTTTGACCACAGTCACATGGGGTACATCAAAAGATATCCACAAAAAACGTGTTTAGAGGAAAGTCTTGTGTATATTAATTGATTTGATCATGTAACAGTGAACAGAGGATATGTTCCTTTCAGCTTTCAAGAAAACTCTTGTTTGGTATAAAAAGTCACAATGAAATGAAGTGGAAACTGCAGTGTGGACAGATATTCACACATAGTGTTAAGAGGTATAAACAGCAAAGGTGTGGTGTGTCCTGAGTGGATGCAGAATGGGCAGTGTTTGTGGTGAATGCGAGAAGAGAAGGTTGGAGGATGTACTTGTGTGTGAGGGTGTAGATGGTAGGGACTCACTCTGGCCTTGCTGGCAGGGGTGGCGGGGTCTGATGCCTTGTTGTTCTGGGTGGAGGAGACCTGGGGAGACAAGCACCCCCATTGTCAATACAACCTCCAACCAACCACACGCCGCGACACAACGGGGTGGAAGAGCAGGTGGCGGGGTGGGGACATTGAGGAGAGTGGGTTGAATCTGTGGGTTAGCAGCTGAACCAATCAGATGAGTGTATGGGTCAGTGTAGCCAATCAAAATTATTTATGGAAAATAACAGCATGGATCAAAAAGAAGCAAACTGAACCAAGATTTAGAATCAAATCCACTCTATAAATTAGATGTAGGATTTAATCATGGACCAATCAAATGGGCGGATAAGAAACAGAAGTATGTACATTTGTTTGTAGAACTGTCAATCAGATGTATCAGATAGATAATGGTGACCATTCAAATGGCAGTAAGCAGATGAGCACTCTTCAAAACATGACAATGAGTTACAGTGGATTAGTACCAATAAATTACAGTTTGTCTATTAGTGACAAAAGCACAAATATAACCTTAACCAGAAAACAACAGATCAAATACTAATACTGGAGTTTGTACTAGTGCTCAGACACCAGTCCACTTCCTAAATACTGAGGATGGAAAGGTTGTTAGACCAAAAAGCTCCTGTTGAATGGAAAATATTAAAATACATAACAGACACACCAATATTTGTATCACTGGAGGCTGAATGAGTCAGTGCCACTTATTGTGACGCAGGGTGGGGGCTGCGTGTTTGTGTGTGAAGTGGCTGACAGACAGGCAAAAAGAGCAGGAGCATGTCTTTGGAAGGGAGACACAGCAGGACCAGATCTGCAACTGCAAAACACAGTGCATCTGCCTCAAAGGAAATAGTGCCCACAAATTGCAGTTTGATGCTGACAACCCGTTGACTGCTCTCTTACTGTGTACAGGAAATATGAGGGTTAGGCCAATTTCACAGAACCATTTGGAGAGGCAGCTACAGCCCTTTCTCTACACTGATCTAACGTTAATTGGCCATGCGATCATGTCTAAACGATGCAGGTTGAGAAAGTGAGGAATCACTGTGAATGTGAGACAGGGTGTTGCTAAAAAAAGGAGCATGCATGCTGTTTCCCTGGATAAATAGAGGGGAGATAGCGTCTGTATGACAAATCTCAAATGGTATGCAAGCCCTGTCTACCCAGCCAGCTCCTGCTATATGTTAGCCTGCTCTACAGTGTGACCAGGCAGAGGAAGGTTGGAATGGAATATGTATAGATGTGACAGAAAGATTATCAAGTAAAGGAGATAAAAACAAACCTATTTAAGAGCACAGCAGTGTATATTTTACATCATATAAAATATGAATAGAATAGAATGCTAAATATGAATCTAGAAGTGATGGTTAGCTTAGCTTAGCATTAAGACTGGAGACAAGTGTTGCCAACTTGGTGACTTTCTCGCTAGATCTGGCGAATCTTCGGACCCTCAACTTTCTTTCTAAAAAAGCTACTAGTGTCAAATTTAGTGACTGATTTAAACCTTTGTAGAATTTTATACATTGTTCCTTCAAATATACTGTAGTGAGTTTGTTATTATTTGGCTAAAGATACCTTTCAAATAGCTTACATTTTTTTTTAGAATTGACACTGCTGGAAACACAGGGAACCACCTAGCTTCAACGTTCATACACATCAACAGCACCTCTGAATACATTATAGCTAGCAGCTATTCTGAATCACTCCAACAAATTTGTGAGTTTATAGCTGTTTATAGGAATAATTGGAGGTTAAACAACAGTAGTTTGATGGAAGAATACAGCAGAGATGGAAACAGGATGAACTGGACTGAACACATTATATCAAATAACAGGGCAGACGGAGAGCAGATGATGATTCAAAGCGACAGCAGAACCCTTTCCCCAAGTCACACACATTTAAAAGGGACACAAACACAACCAGGTGTCTGAGCCATGTCAATCCATGACATGCTGTGCACCTTCACCACAGTGGAATAAAGGAAGAAAGATCACAGTTTGTCAGCCTGTGTGTTACAGCAGCTGGCAGGGGACTCTGGGATACTGTTAAGGCAGGTGTACCTGGGAGTGTGAGAACAAGTTCACATAGCAGCATTAGGCAATGATAAACAATGACAATGCTTCATGTTGAACTGAATAGACAGAGGGAGATGAAAGGAAGTGGAAGAAAGTAGTTGTTGTCTCTTCAATTAGCATAAAATGGTTACACCCTTTAAAAAACTCAATGTCTGCAATGCAGAGGTGAGGTATTTGTGAGTCACATATGATTTGGTATGGTATAGGATTGCAGTACATTTGCCAAATGAGGTGCTGAGCATGTGTGTGTTAACCATTTGAATGTAGGTGGTATCAATATTCCCTCTCCTACTTGTTAACAGTCCTCCCCTCTCCATCCATCCTAATCTCATCCCCCAATATGTCTCACCAGAGCTGCGACACACTGTGCTGCCTTACATAGCACAGAAATGTGACTGAATCCAGTGTATTCAGTACCGACTCAGTGACAGAGCATGCACTGATCTCCTGTTGGTTTTATCAGCTGCAGACACACAGACACTGTTGTTACAGCTTTATGGGGATCTAAGGACCACATTCACAATGCTTCATTAAATCTAGTCTGCACTGCCTCAAGACTAACAGTGATTTTCTACAGAAATAAAACCCACTTTATTCTCAGAGGATCTGCTTGGTCACAATATATTGTTAGATTTAAAGGTAAAACAATTGAATACCATTCATTTGCCATTTCCATGCTATTAGAGGAATTTGGCGTTGAACACCTTGTTGTACCTGTTTCATAAATGCAGAGCCTGCAGATTTTGACAGAATGAAAACAAAGTCACCAGACAACAGGATTGTCTGGTGTGAGATCAAGACTACATCCACATTAACTCACTAAAACTTTTGGCTTCCTGTCTACACTAAGACGGTGTATTTCACACCTTCCTTGACATAATTCTCAGTACGTGTTCACAGCTAAGCTAATTAGTTTTAGCTAGCTAGTGTTAGCTTCCTGTGACTGGTTTAATGGAGGATGATAAGCTAACGCTAATGGATGTCTAGAAATGTAGGATGTGAGACAGGACTGATCAATTTCAGTTCAGTTAAAAAAGTACAAAAATAAACACCTCCTCATGAAAACTACTGACTGGTCTATGCTGCTTAAATACTTGTACACCTTGTTTTCGGTGCTTTTGATTTAAATATGGAATGAAAAAGTCAATAAAATTAATTTAGTTTACAGACAAAAAGTTGAATAACCTTTAAACATGTGTTTGTTATGTAGCTACAACAGTAAATCATAATAAGGGAATACATATAACAATGTGCACTGTATTTTTTGTCTTTTATTTATTTTAATAGTGGCACTTTAAATCTTTCATAGAGATCTGCTCAGACACGGTTGTGGCCAGTGTGGCAGTTGTGACCTCCTTCTTACACTTCTACCCCACTCTGTGATCACTTACTGGCAGTAAGCTGTATTTATGATTATTATATTGTTTTATGATTATTTTTAGTATTTAAGTAAGTAAAACATGTTGTTAGGATGTACAGCACATGGCTGCTATTTGATTTATAGACCAAGCAGTGCCAAATGATTTGCTGATACAAGAATATGTCATATGAACATAGACCTTTCTTATGCTGCCTGGTTCATCCTACCTTTCCTCCACCAGGCTGGTACTTGATGTTGTCAATGGATCCGATCTTGGAGCGGACGTTCTTAAGGTCAGGTGTCGGAGCGTTGATGGGCCGGGGGGTACGTGGAGCGCGTGGCACCGGCGGCTTCTTCTCCATTGGGGTCTGCTTGGGCACGGGGGGTTTGGTGATGACCCGGCGGCGGTGAGAGGAGCTGGCTTCACCGTTAGTGGAGGCAGCCGGAGTAGCAGGAGTGGTGGTGGAGGCAGGACGAGGACGGGCTGCAGAGGAAGGAAAAAACAGTAACACAAATGAAGTATTGATTTCTGTGAAAATGTGAAAACTGAAAAGTAAACACCAGTCAAACAACTTCTGTTTCACTTGTAAAGTGAAGTAATGACATCAGTGAGATGAGTGTGAAAACAACATGCTTATGTTTTTCATGAACAGTGAACTGAACGTATCCATTTGCAACTAATGAACGAGAGTGTTGTTAACTCACACAAGACTTAATGATGCTGTGTTATGGGTTTATTACCCCCAGCATGCCGGCACGGCACCATGGCAGCGAGTGCAACTGGCATTACAGACGCAACTACCGGTACTGCTGAAGGCAGTTCATATGGGTATTTGTAGGAGCTTTATGAACAAATCAGTACAGTACAATATCACATTTTTATGTAAATTGTGCCTATCAGGGGTTCATTTTAATCTGTGTCAACTGAACATTGAGCTAGCTCTAGTGACACTAAAAAGTAAAAATATTCTCACTTATTACTATTACTTATTACTATATTTTTCATGTTTTTCTACTTTGTTTAAAGATATATATATATATTTTTTTTTTGTATTGTTTTACTAATTTGTATATACATGAATTTACGCTGGCTTTGGCAATGTAAATGTCATTTTCCCAGTAAAGCCCTTTTGAATTAAACTGAATTGGATTGAAAAGAAGAGGAGCTCAGTGTTCATCATTGAAAAAGATCATGCTTCAATGTAATGTAACACATTAGACATGATATGATTCTTTTATATAATGGGGCAGTAAAAGTAACACTCTGTTTATTGTCCCCTAAAGCCAGGCAGACACCGTATGGATTAAGCCATAACCCCAAATTGATCGACCCAATCTAATTTTAGAATCATGGAAAATATGAGCCAGATCGGCTATTGTTTGAAGTGCAGTTTGAGGGGGGTCACGATGCCTAATTAAGTGCCTGAATGATTAACAGTATGGTTGTCAGACGATCTAATGGGTTTCTGGCATGGCAGAAATTTTGGTCAGCTGGAGTTTGAGCAGTTCAGTAGTCACATTTCCCAATATGGCTGCTGCCAAAAGATCCATTATTCACTGAACTGAGTCAGTTTTAATATTACTGGGATGGTATTTTACTGGTTGTGACAAGAACTTATATTTTTCTCCTTACTGCACGTTCATAGTAGAATTCTAAGTATTAATGCTGGCTTTTTCTCTTTTTGTCATCAGCACTGTTGAAGACACAGTCATCTTGTTTGAATAAACTTGATTGAAATTGAGAAAACCATGCTGGGGTTGCTCCACTGCGTCAGTGCGGCCAGTCCATTTATCCGTACAGTGTGAGCATAAACATCGTAGGTTCTGCCCATAAAACCACGTATAGGTCTCTATCCATAACCTTTATTTTATTCTAGTGACATTTAGAATTTGAGGAGAACAACACGGAAACTTATCGTCACTGACTGTCCATCTTCTCTCTCAGTTTGTTACCTGTAGTCTTGGGTTTCTTGGGCTCCCCCGTCTTGTTATCAGTCTTGTCATTCTTGTTCGCTGAAAGCAGGAAATATAGCACACAAGCTCAAAAACACCAGACTGACACGTAACCCTGGTAGTGCAGTGTACCAAGTTCCACCAATTTGTTGATGCAATAATACAGGTTTTTATTGGTTTTGGGCTCTTTTAACTTCTAGTATTGATTTTACAGCAGATTTAAAGTTGAGTTCTTTCTTAGCACCCTCATCAACATTGTTTTCTGCAGCAGCAGTTGGTCGTACACTACACCCCCTACAGCTAAAACTAATCATTCTTTTCAATTATTTATTTGGTCCATAAAATGTCTGAAAATTGTGAAAGAAGTTTCCCAAAGCCTAAGGTGACATCTTCAAATGTCTTGTTTTGTCCACAACTCAAAGACATTCAGTTGCTGTCATAGAGGACAAAAGAAAGTGGAAAACATTTGAGAAGCTGAAATCAGAGAATTTGGAAATTTTTTCTTTGAATATTACGCAAAACAATTAATAGTTGACAATTTATTTAATATTTGTTGTAGTTTTCACAAATTTCTCCTACACGCATGAAAGGCTGAGCTGCTAGATGCCACTAACTCTTACACACTGGTCCTTTAAGGGCAATAGGTGACGTGAGTCATTTTACCGTTTATGGAGGTGTTGGCATGTTGATAACATTGTGCTGTAAGTAATGCTGCCATCATGTGGGAGAAGCATTATGAAATCTGACTAAACTGCTGCCATCAGAGTTCACTCATGCAACTAAAGTGAAATATGCACCTTGCAGCACATAACAGCCATCCCTGTTAACTGAGTGAATGAATCATATTCTCTGAGGCTGCTGAGCTGAGGTGCACAAAAAGCAGAGAGCCTGTTTGTCTAACGTTGCTCGGACTGAGTCACAGTTCCCTCGCTCAGAGAGGTGAGATAGTGTTTGCGATGTGCAGATAAAAATATCAGTCTGCAGTCTTCAAAAGCCTGCTCTTGAATCCGATTAAGTGTAACATATGGCAGCAATTCAGTTAGCCTGTTGCCTGGAGTGGTGCCAGTTGACATTGTGAGTCACTTTTCCAGCTACAGTAGCGGGTTCAGGCCCTGTTGGAGGTCATGTTGCACTGGCAACACTATGAACTAGCCAAAGAGTCTGTGACAATACTGTTCATATCACACAATCAGGGACAGGGGGCAGACACTGTAGATATAATAGAAATGATAATACTGTACAAGCTGTGTGTGCGTGTGTGTGTGTGTGCAAGTACCAGCAGTTTTACTTGCAGCAGTCGCAGAGGAGCCATTCTTATTGGCAGCTGCACGGGGAGTGGGCGTGGCCTTTGGCACAGATGGGCGTTTCTCAGCCGTCCCATTATCTGGAGTCTGGAAGCAGCAGAGGAGAGATGAGCTGTGGGTGTGTGAGAGTTTATGTGTATGTCTGCACATACCGTAGGTTTGTGTTTACAGCTGCATGCATAAAGGCTTTGTTATCCTGTTTTCCGGTGTTATCTGCCAATCATGCAGACTTGACATCAGCAGAGAATAACAGCAAAGAGAGGAAAGAAGGTGAAGACAGACTTATGACAAACAGGAGTGGAGGAAGGATGGAGGACTAAGGTCTCATTGTTAGATTTAAAAAATCATAAAGTAGACTGAGATACAGTCACCGCAGTAAAGTGCAAACAAAGGCAGCAACTACCTCCCTAGATCAAGGTAGCTGCAGAATTCAGGGCATGATGGGAAATGCCTGGATCACCGTTGAACTAAGAGATGATGACAATGAACCTTTCATTTTTGAATTGGAGAGATTTTGATTATATTAATGTGACTTTGCACTTTGTTCTGTGGTTGATGGTGACTTTTATCAGCAAGAGAAGCTGAATAATTTCAGCTTTTATTACAGGTAGTTCTCATAGATGGCACAAAATCTGTAACAGTTCTAGTCTACAAATGGATTAGCAAGTGACACACAAAACATTTGGTAGGTGGAATGTGAGGATTCTTAAAATAACATCTGTACAGATGTTAAGGCCTGACAGTCAGAATATCAGATCAGTAATGAAAATGATTGTCCTGTTTTCTACTTTTACCACTGTTTTGACTATTGATTCATGTTGTCAGTTCCATTAGTTTTTGAGCAACTGCCCCAGCAATCAAGTCTGGACAGCCTATTTATATACAAAACTCACATAATGTCTGCTTTACATTCTTGTTTTTTTTTCTCCCCTCTCTCCCCACTCTTTCCTTTCTTTCGTTCTTTATTATTATTTCTCTATTACTTTATTTATTGTCATTTTCTTTTACTTATTCCTGCCACATACATTCCTCTTTCTATTTTTCTCAGCTAATGCACCACTTCCCCTTGTTGCTCCTCAACACACACACATGCGCACGCACACAAACACACACACACACACACAACCACACACACACACAAAGTACATGTTCACAGATACAGTTGGAATCCTATACAATATACTTGCACTGTGTGTATAATATATATATATATTATATATATAATATATAATAATTTCTTACACTGATATTTAAGTATTTAACATATACTGTATATTAATAGCCTATTTATAGCCTTATCTCCACTAATTATAACTACTGTATTTATTTTTGTCCTTTGTGCAATTATTTTTACACCATGCATTGTCTTCCCTGTGACATGTGCAATGGTTTGACAGACTAACAAGCTGCTTGGGTGAGTTTTTATTTGGTTTCTGTCCATTTTGATGAGTCCATGAGAACACAAGTACAGACAATGGATTATACTCACCTTGGCAGCTTTGGCCGAGCCAGCTGCTGCTGGTGGCCGCTTGGCGGCAGTGGGTGTGGTCGCCTTGGGTACAGGGCTTTTTTTATTGGCTGAGGTGGGGGAGGGGCGTTTGGCTGAGGTGGCCTCGCCATTGGTGGAGAGGGTGGATGGGCGGGATTTAGCTGAGTTTGGTTTAGCTGAACCCACATCAGGCTGGTGATAATGGAATTAAAAGAAGCCACAATAAGAGTGAAAAAAGGGAGAAGGCAAGGAAAGAAATAAAACGGACAGATAGAGAAAGAAAAAGCAATCACTGATTGCAATGGCCGTGTGATATGGCAGCACAGCCAGCAACCGTATGACAATCATAAAATAAATTCTTAAATTAAAATTGAAATTTATAGCCACTTCAGAGAGCTCATGAGCAGTAAATCATAAAATTAACCTCAAATCTCATGAAATGAGCAGCATTCCAAAAGTAGCACATGATACTGAAAACTCAGTCTCACATTCATACACAACACACACACACAACACACCCCACACAACACACACAAACACACACACACAGAGACTCAGTGATGGACATACTATTTAGCACTTCTAAACACATATTAAAGGCCCAGGCAGTGCTGAACGCTTGGTGTGATAGATTATATTGATTTTACTTTGATTTTGTGTGGCCTGTCCTCCTTCCAGGAGTGGAGGCGGGGTTGTGTGACTCAGGTCGTACCTATCTGGCAACACCCAAAACTGCTCAACGTCCTGCTGGAAGAGTATCACGTATATCTGTATTTTTGTAATCAAAATTTGTTGTTCTATTCTGTACACATGACATCTATTGCATGTCTGTCCTCCTGGGAGAGGGATCCATCCTCCCTTGCTCTTTCTGAAGTTTATTTCTTTTTTTTTCACCAGTAAAGGTTATTTTAGGGGAGGCTGTCCTTTGAGGACAAGAACTGAAGGTCTAAGGACAGCGGGTGTTAAATGCTGCACAGATTGTAAAGCCCCTTGAGGCAAACTGTGATTTGTTATTGTGGGCTATATGAATAAAATTGATTTGACTTGATTTTTACTTACAGACTTTTTATACATATTTGTATGAGTATTGTTGGAGGGATGAACTGCAAATGATTGCTTCACTGTAATTGTTCTGTACAATAGAACCTGAACTTGTAGCATCACAGGGCTAGTTGGTGAACTACTTTAGCTGTGTGTGTGTGCTCTTTATACTATTAGAATTTTTTGAAAAATCACAATATATCACCTTGTTTACAGCATCATAATATATCACAATATATTGAACTATAACCTCTGTATCGTGATACATAGTGTATTGCCAGATTCTTTTCAGCCCTAGTCAGTTGCAGCCCTAAATAAAAGTTAATGGTACATCAGCCAACAAGCAATGACAGTTTTTCTCCATTTTGGACTCTGACTTTTCATTCCCTCAAGGTGGTTTGCTATTGGTCAAATTTGCATGTCACCAAAATTGAACATGACATAATAGATTTGCACAAGTTAATTAACCCCCGTAAGCAAATTCACTGATTGCTGCCATATAAATCAAAATTTCATTTGAAATGCCAGCGTCAACTGGCAGTGAGACAGACACACACAGACACACACAGACACACACACACACACACTGATGAGACCGGTGGAAGCAGCAGAAGCAGTGCACTGACTGAAGTGAATGATGTTTATGTCATTTTTGCAATCAGCCTGAGCATCTGTGTGTGTGTGTGTGTGTATTTGTGTGTCTTGCTCAAGGACACTGTAGCAGGGTGTTGTTGGATACACCGGCTGTGGCAGAGTTCGAAGCTGTAACCTTTGGGTGACGGGGCTGTTTCTGTAACCACTGGACAGTCTGCCACTGTGTGAATCTGTTTGCAGGAAATGTGTGTGGGAAGCAGTATTCTGTGTGTGTGTGTGTGTGTGTGTGTGTGTGACCCACCTTGCTCTTGCTGTCAGGGCTTGGCAGAGTCTTGCTACCGTTGCCTGTTGGAGACTTGGCTGTCCCTTTCCCCCCCTTCTCCTCCTTTTTCTCAGCAGGCTTCTTTTCCTCTTCCTTCTTTTCGTCTTTGTTGGTCTTCTCCGGTTTGTCCACCTTCTCCGCCTTCTCGTTGGCCTTGTTGTTTTTCTCCGCGTTCATCTTCTCCATCTTTTCATCATCTTTGACAATCTTCTCGGACTTCTGGTTCTTGTCTGGACCGTTGTCCTTCTTCTGCTGCTCCTCTTTCTCTTTCTTGTCAAAGGCATCGACCTTGTCCGTCTTGCTGGACATCATGTCTGTCTTCTCCTGCTTGTCCTTGTTGTCAGGTTTCACTGTGAGAGAAAAAATGTCATTGTCAGGATCAAAGCTTATTTGACCCAAATAATTGAATGTTTACATAAAAAAACATATAAAATAATTAATAATAATTTCACTATTACTCCATTGACTACAAGTTAGTCCAATGTATAAGAATGACTATTCTGTTCATAACTTTCACACTCTCCACTGTTAATCTGCCAAACTACAGTACAGACAGTTATGGAATACACTAGGGTTACAGATGCTCACAGATGGCCCGGCATTGGCCCGATCTTTCAGGGCCTTTAGACACAAACACTACGTGGCTGAGGTTCGGGGAAAAATGTGGTCATGTTCCAAAGAGACCAGCTTTGAATGTTAGTAGGAGACCAACAGCTTTGTTGACCAATCAATCCACCCTGAACCTAATTTATAACATTATTAGGCTACTTCTACCTTTTCATCTGAGAGACACAGTCATTATTTGATAACCAAAAAACGTCCTTGTCAGGTAAAATAAAGGCTGTTAGTCTAATTGTTTGAATTCTGTACATGCTGTTACATGTCAAAAGTTCATATGTAATCAGCACTGCAGCCAAATTGTACAAACTGACTCTTAAATACCTGACAAACATTTCTTATAAGACACTTCTGTGAGAAGTGTGGACATACTATAGCTCTAATGTGTAGCAATGCTTTCACCGACATGAAATAATTAGCTAATTGCAAGGGAACTTTAGTTATTTATAGATATGACTGTCCATGTGGGTTCAGTTATGTAGGTCGCAGCAGCACACGATTCCGGGTCTGGTTGGTAAACAGGCCAAGCCCAGTGATTCCATTGCTCTAGATTATGCAAGTGCCCACAATGGTGACGCTGTGCCTTTAAAATCCATGTCAGTAAGGTCATATCCAGTCCTGATAGAGGAGGCCAACAGACTGTTTTGTAAGTATATCCTGGCCTTTGTGATAATGCTGATCTGTCACCACTTTTAACTGGATGATTCCTCTTTCTTTGAACTATACATTGATATACAGCTGTTTTATTGCCCTTTTATGTTTTATGTTAAGCTCTTGGAATTACCTTGTTGTTCACAACTGTCATACAAATACATTTGTCTTGCATATTCTTCTTCATTACATCTGCTAGTGTTTTGTCCATTGAGCTGTATCAGATGTAACAAGTCAGCTTAGGTCAACTAAAAACTTTACAAGCTTTACAATTTGGCCAACACATGAAACCCTCTATCCTTAGACCCTCTATAACAGCAGTGGTGCACACATGTGACTGTGTCTAGATATAATATATAACTTTAGTCTAATATTCAGGCCATTCTGTGTCCCGTTATTATTCAGTCTTACACTATATTCATGTTAGCTGTTGTTGAATATGTTATTTTGTCCTAACCAATCAGGACATCCCCACCAGCCCATCCCATGACATCACAATCAGTCTAGTTGTTGACAATTAAAAGAAATTACAAATGTAGTCTTTTGCCCTTTTGTGGGAATGTTTCTGTTGATATTTTTCTTGCCGTGGCACTAAAAGATGATTAATTCGGCCTACAAAGTTCTGGTGAGAACAGCAGCAGACCTATTTTAATAGCTTAAAAGAATTAGATGTGGGTGTCAATTCACAGGACTGGAACCAGGCTAAAATGACTTGTAAACTAATGCAGGATAAAGTTAAAGCTGCAGTAGGTAACTTTAATTAAAAAAATAATTCCCAAGTTGTCAAATACCAATGCTTTGGGTTGGTGTCTCAACAATGAACTCTCTTTCTCGGATCTGATTGGTTGTTTTCGTTCAGGCCTGGTGGATTTTTGCAGATGTCATTAGGAGCACTAGGAGGAACCTGATTTTTTTCACAGATTATCTGTCTCATGTACTACTGTCAGGATATAAGTGGAAAAAGCCTTCAGCAAATATGAATACAAGGTTTATTTTTATAAAAGTGACCTACTGCAGCTTTTAATGACCAATTTCATCGAAACCCAGATTATACAACTGGTTTCACAGGCTGAGTAGTATTCTCCACGAAGAGTAAACTGAACTTTTTGTGGAGGGCTGTTTTTAGCATGTTTTCTGCACCCTTATTATATGCATAGTGAGTTCCAATTACATTTCTGTTTAATTCTAGTTATATTTAAGTAACATATGCAGGTGAGAATCAGAGATATGATAACCAAAGACAACTTAATAAGAAGGTTTTTAAAAATCAGAATCTGAAAGGTATGTGTCCTCGGATTTCAGTGCTGAGTGTTCTTCATCTATGCACCAGGATTATGCAAACAGCATTCAGGGACATCTATCATCCTCAGAGGAAGCACTAGGTCAAACTAGGTTGCAGCATCAATGTTGCCAACAGCTGATTCATAGGATGAGCACAGCATGAGGAAGAAAAAGAGAGAATAAAGTGGAACCAAGAGGGACATATGACAGAGGAACAGTGCAGAGGGAGGCAGAGACAGAAGGGGTTCGGGAGGTTGGCGGGGTTAAGGACAGATAGCCGGCGGGGCTGAGGGGGGTGCGGGAGGGGGGCAGAAAGAAAGGGTCTCTTTGTTGCCACCAAGACATCTCTTACGTAACAGTGACACTGGACACTACTGTGCCCTAATGTCCGCTCATTTCCCTCTGCGCTGCTATATCTCCTCTGAAACAATGCCAATTTGTTTGCTCAAGCAGACCACATGGAGCAAAGCCAAATTGTAGTAAATACAAATTTAACATCATTTTGTTAAGACAAGAAACTTGCCAGAAAACATTGTTTATGCCATGGACGTGTAAAAATCCAAAGAGAACAACAACGGCTACCCTTGACTAAAGCTAAACTTACTTACTTTTCCCCCTTAGCTGTTTACTGTCATTGAAATAGATACATTTTGCCGAACTAACATCTTTTGTTTATTTATCCAACATAAATAAGGCAGAAAATCTAGTCATGGAGGAAAAAACGGCTGAGATAGTCGAGATAAAAAGGTACCTAGCCTAACGTTAGCTTAGCAGGGTAGCAGTAACTGCCATCTCAGCTGTAACTGACTCTAATGGAGTCAAAGGTGTTGTTTTAAAGGTGCCAGTATCCTCATTCAACACAACCCTAACCACCACATACCCTAACCTAACTAAAATACTTTTTTAGCTCTCTTATATCCATTTTAAACCATGACATTTAGCACTGTTTTCTCAGCGTAAGCTAGCTATGTGTTTACATAAAGACACAGTTTACTTTTTAACTACCTGTATTCCGCTTCTGATTGGCTCCGACTCACTCACGCTGTCATTAGAACTCTAACCGTTTCACTCCTGCCTACCACCAACCAACCAAACTAACAAAGGCAACAAACAGTAGCCAATCAGAGGCAGTGGAGGGCGGGTCTTCACAGAATGCCGATGGGGGAAAAGGAGTGTGTACTGAGGTGTGTGGGTTTGTACCTACTGACCAGCAGTTAACAGCAAGTACACAGTAAGAAGTAAGAGTACTCATTTAGACAAAAACGATAAGTATCGAGGTCGTGAAATATTTGTCTGGGTATCTCCTCGGTATTACTAAAACCCTGCATACAGCAATGCTGGTGAGGTACTCCTAAACAACTGCATAACTGCTTCTGTGTGTACACATAAAGATGGCTTGATGCTAAGAAAACAGCACTGAAAATGTCTATTAAAAAAGGTTAGGGTTGTGATGAATCAGGGTACTGGCTTTTTGCTCCAATTCAACCACTGGTGCTGGCCCATTTCATGCACTGTGTGTAACCACGAAAAAGCTAAAGCATGTTCAGCATTCAGAGTCATTCATTTGGAGTTTGGTTATCCTCCTGCGGTCCTGTTCTCACTGTTCGTCTAGCGCTATTGTTTTGTTGTGCTTTATCAAGCTGTAATGGAGTCAGTTCCAGCCTGAGCTGATGTTAATGCAAACTCATCACTTGCTGCAGCTGCTTCACAAAGCCTCTCAGTGACACCTACTTGTTTCACGAATTTTAATGTCCTCCATTCCAAGATCCTTGCGGTGTTTTGGTCCTGTTTGATTTTTGTGTCTGACAGAGAAAATATGCATCAATATAATTCCATTTAGGCAGTGAAGGGACTAAATAGAGGTCTAAAATGCTACAGAAAACTAGAAATTATGTCATTTTCTGATTCATTATAATGGAATTTTTTGCTATTTTAATCTACTTTGGGTGGTGTGGTAAGTTCTGCTTTGTTCTTCCTGTCTGCCACAGATAATGAAAATCCAGGCATTAATAGAGTGCCCCACTGATTTAGCACTGCACTCTGCACTGTCAGACAGTTTTTACGTATCAAAATTGATGCAGCAGAACCAGAGATATCATCCGACAGAGATACAGTTAGACAAAACAATCTCACGTTGAGGTCCACAGTCTTTCCTGGATCTTTAAACAACATCTCATTGTCTTCATTGGCAGATCGGCTGAAAGAGCATGTAAGTGGACTTTCAGATTGTTACTGAAAGATCAAAAAATCTTTCTGCCATTCGGAAATGCAGTGAGAAAGAAAGAGAAGCAGTCAGATAATCAGACAGGATGTAAACCCCTGCCACCTTATCTTGGAAAAGATGGACAGTCAAATGTAAATATTCATCTCAGTTTACAGACCAATTTCCTGCTTCAACTATGAGGTATTATTAGCAACATTTCTGGTGAGGTTACAATTGCTTTACCCCAAATAAAGTGGTTTATATCATCGTCTTACAATGTCTCTGACTGTCTGATTGCTCATGTTTCTTGCCCAGAGGTACAAGAAAATATCATATTGCGATATTCTGTTTTGTGAGATCGTATCAATTCTCAAAACACTAGTGTTGTAAACGTAGAAAGTAAAGCTATGATGTTGGCTGTTACAGGGACATGATTGTGTGTTCTTTATACTTTGACAATTTTCCTAAAATTAGATTCACGAAAAAACCTGCAATGTATCACCTTGCTTATATCGCAGTATTGGAGTAGTATTATAATATATTGAACTGAAACCCCTGTATCGTGATACGCATCATATCTCCCTGTTCTTGCTATGT